TATACTGCGCTGGAATTCGTTCAAGAACCACTGCTGGAGTTGTTTTTGAGTTAGCTGAGGGTGTTGTTGTGCATATTGACGAAGGGCCTTCCTTTGAGAGACTGAAAGGCCAGGTGTCTTGCGGTCTGAAGGCATCTTTTTGATACCTGGTTTAGCCAATAAATTGATCAGGTTAAGGCAATATAGGCAGGTAAGAGGTTCACACCGAATTTTAGAAGTTGAAGCTGAAAGTATAGCGTTAAAGAGGTTATGTTCCTACGGAATATTGCGTTATCCAGGTTTGACTGTACCTTCCGATGATCAATCTCGGCTAGGCAGGACTGTGATCTAACGCAGGCACAGGTGTGGGGATGGGGGATGCGTGTCAAGGATGACATGCGTGGGTCAGGTTCCGCTTCTGAGTGACGCTGGCGAGTGGAGGTTCTTGCGATATCTTGCTCTGCACGGGAAGCCTTCGAAGTTGGTGCAACTTTGCAAGGACTTTTGCACGACTAGTGTGTTATGGTTGAGCGCAAATGCATATGAATGACTCGCCTGGATGACAGCATGAAAGACCTTGTCCTTAATAACAACACGAACAGACGCTCATCCATTGGGAAAGCTAGGACAATGACCCTGTTGGTTCTCGACCACGCGAGTGAGATTTGGAGGAGGTGGATGTCGATGCCGACTGCAGGGGCTTCGACTTTGTTCAACACCGTCGCTGATTATTCACGACAGACGCAAGGAACCGAATTTGAAGACTGTATCTGCTCAGCCCATTGAGAGAATCATTCAAGCGGTATGCTCGTTTTAACCTCAGCCTCTCAAATGACTGATTCACGTCTCAAACCATGTCAACGGCACGCCGGTTCAGGCTGAACGTTCGTCGTTGTCGGATCCTTCACAATCAGTACGGCGACCATCCGACAGAGCCCTAGAGAGCTCGACGAGGACAATCCTGCGTCATGAGATGCGGTGTTCTCGTGCTGCTTCTCTTGCTGCAATTTTGCGAGACCGGATCCAGCGCACTGGAACGCGAGCTCCGACTCGCTGAAGCTAACACTGCATGCAGATGCAGGAGTAGTACCAAGGGACTGGGGAGCCGGGTTGGTCATGCATGCTGGTCCACTTCTTGAGGACATATGCATGAGGGAATATTCATGATGAGATAGTTCTCACATGCGTGGAGTCTGACCACGAGTTTGGGAGGCTGTCTTCTCAACATGGCGAGCTGAACGTGCTGATGGGAGTCGTTTAGCCAGCATTGGAGGAGCGAAAGTGTTCTCCGAGCCGGATATCGAGCCGAGAGGATATCGGAAGCGCTCATCGAATGGGTGACGATGTGAAGGAGGAGGAAGCGATGCGGTCTGCCGACATACGATGGAGATGTCTGCTGCTAAAATAATAGACTTTCGCTTGATCGGACATTTATTCCAAGCTAGCTGGATCCAGCAGTGGCAACGGATATTGGCTCAGCTCGTACCCGTCTTCACGACTCTACCTCGCTTTTCCGCCACTCACATCGCCGTGCCTTGCAGTGGTATCGATTGTTATGCAAACGCATTATGCGACAGACTTGATTGCCATGCAATGGGCTGGCTGGAAAGTCTCGGTTGAGGCAGGTCAGCAATCCACGCCCGAGACAGCGAAATGGCAGACATTCGGGCACTGCGGGTGGATGAAGCAGTCGCTGGTTCCGGCATTGGCACTGCTCCACCACGCTGTCACTCCATTCTACCCGCGCCGGAAGCGACGTCGGGGTTGATTGGCAGGATCATCATCAACGCACGAGCGAACCGAAAGACTGTCACGACCGTTGAGCGAAGAGCACTACAGTCAAACCTGGATAACGCAATATTCCGTAGGAACATAACCTCTTTAACGCTATACTTTCAGCTTCAACTTCTAAAATTCGGTGTGAACCTCTTACCTGCCTATATTGCCTTAACCTGATCAATTTATTGGCTAAACCAGGTATCAAAAAGATGCCTTCAGACCGCAAGACACCTGGCCTTTCAGTCTCTCAAAGGAAGGCCCTTCGTCAATATGCACAACAACACCCTCAGCTAACTCAAAAACAACTCCAGCAGTGGTTCTTGAACGAATTCCAGCGCAGTATAACGCAGCCTACAGTCTCAGAAAGCCTCTCAACCAAATACAACTTCCTAGACAGTA